TCTTTTTATGCTCAGCTACTAAAATTTCCCTTTAGTGGTAAAATTCCATATAAATATTCAAAACTAAGCGGATTGAAATGTGCACAGTAAAGACATTAAATGAGTAAATCTTTTCACTACCAACCAATGCACCACGAGTGCCCCTGTCGGTCGCAGGTTTTTACCGCTCATTTTGAATGGCTGCATCTGTACCTATTCCAACTTTTTTTCCAGAAATAAGAAAGTCTTATATAATATTAGAATATATGCTGTAGCTTAAAGTGTAGATTTTGAATAAAATAAAATGTAGATGCATATCTGGGTTTAATAGAATATATTTAATCAACTTGATAAAAACACTTCATGTTTTTTTCTTAGAACAGAAAATACCATGATGGTGCCTTTTTACATTTTTCAAAACTTCAAAGCCATTGAGAAAAGTCAACCCTATGGATTTCTTCAAAATTAACAAGTAAACACGAACCAAAGTGGACACAAGTGGAAACCATACGAGAATGTACTTAACACCAAAAACAAAATTAACTGTTTTGATCTAATGGTTGAGGGGGTCAGGAATGGGCTCCCAGCCATTTTTTGAAGCTGATGCTCTAACTTCTTTCAAGAAATGGCTTCATGACACATTTGGATCAATTAGCCATATGCTTAGGAAGTCATCTTTTAAATGATCTTATATTCCTTAATATTCACGTTTGCTGCCTGTGAGAATCTACAGTATAGTAAACTAGTCAGTGATTGTGAGTAGTAATTTTGTGGTGAGCACTGTACAATGTTTAATACTGTATGTCTTGATATTCTAGACTTTTTTTTCTTTTGCAGATAAAATCTACAAATTTTACATATGATTTTTTATCTATTTACTGCTCCAACTCTAGTGAAACCAAAAATGAACCCCAGGTTTGTAACCCTTTTTCTCTTACATATTTTGAAGTTTTATATTTCCACAAAAAGGTTTCTAACTTCTTTGCTTTTCCAAGTACTTGCTAGAAAAACTAAGAATTCTTTCCTTATTTTCAGTACAGTATGCATGTAGTCTATATTTTGGGCTCCAAACCTCAGACCTGGAAAGCTGTGCTTCTTCAGGTTTTATTGGTCTTTTTGAATTAACTGTACCTGAAGAGTTCAAAGAACGTACCAAGCTGTAACTATTAAACTAATAATTACTTCAATTAGATCTTTAAATGTTTTGCTGGAATAAAAAGGCTGCAGGACTGTAGCCTTCCAGGAGATGGTATGGAAAAAACTGACTGAGAACAGATTCTCTCAAATAAGAGAGAGGGATCACTTTATTGGCCATTACACTTTCTTGTATTAGAAGTTGGTCTATTTTGCATACGCCAACTTGCTCTCAGTGAGACACATAGGCAGGGATAGAAGCTTAGGGTCAGAGCACAGGTCAGCCATTTATACAGCGCCCCTGGAGCAGTTGGGGTTAAGGGCTTTGCTCAGGGGCCCGACAGAGTAGGATTCCTCTGCCAGCTGCGAAATTCAAACCAGTAACCTTCCAGCCCCAGGAACAGATCCTCAACCACACAACCACTGTACCACCCTGTATTGAAGAAAGCACACTTCTGCTGCATGTTGTTGAAGCAGTTTGGATTTGTTTGTATATTTTGAAATGTATTAATTTTCAATTTGTTATATTACAGAAAGTTATTGGACTCTTGAGCTCTTTCCTGAAAAAACTTGAGATTATTAGTAATTTGACTAAAGAAGAGAGGACAACAGCAGGAGAAATCATCCTGCAAAGTGTTGAGAATATTGAGCTGACTGTGTCTGCTAACTTTGATGAATTCATGAAGAAAAATAAAAGTGATGATAAACTAGGTATGGAAATAAATATCTGCTATAGAATATGGTTTCATTCATTTTAAATGGTGTGCAACATTAACTGCATAATTTTCTCATGATAAATGTAACAGTTTTTTGTAACAGAGTGACAAATTTAGATTTATGCATGGTCTATTTATGCATGGTCTATTTTTTAATTGTCACAAATCAATAAATATATTAATAGATTAAATAGGACTTCAACCTTTTATTGGAAAAAACAGTCTCAACTGTTTTTTACCATAATCTAAATTACATAATCATTATAGAACTATGCACATTTTTACTGTTTTAAACACAGCATTGAAATGTGAATAATGAAATGATTTAAGATTTGTTGCTTATTCCCTGATACTATTGATTATTATTGTTATACTTTTAGCTGTCACCACAAAAAGAAAACATTGATATCTTTCTGATACTCAAAAGCATTACTGCATGAGTATTCATGGTTATTTCAATGTTTAAGGCAATATCTTCTGCTTTTCCTTTGAAGTGGAGCACAGTATATAACAGAGTCAATTATATTCATTTGGAAGTAAAATTGTGCTGTGCAGTGACTTATACAAGATATTTGAAAATTGTTGATCAAGAAATAGTATAAAAGTGTTTCAGGAAAGTGTAACTATACTGCAGAAAAGAAAATGTATCACCTGTTATTTTTAAGCACCTCTTAGTTTGTTTGAAATACATCCTGTTTACACATTCCCTCAGCTATTTTCACATTTGCTCAGACAAAACATCATGATAGGTCCTCTATCCATTTTTACATTTTCCAAAGTGGACATCCTTTGTGCATTTTCACTTAAATACTAGATATAAAAAGCATGACTACTTTAGCCATTTTACATCTCTACCAGTAACCAGAAATTGCACAAGAATCCTTTCACTCCCACATGTATGTCCTCCACAGAAAATACTGATTGCTGCTTGCAGCTACACAAGCTGGTGAACCCTGGTGTACATATGAAATTACTTTGCAAGTCCTTCTGCATTATGATCACATTGATGCTAGCTTATTTTACTTAACCAATATATGTTGTAGGATGAGTTTATACTTTTTGTCACACAGAGTAATAATTTTTGGTTGATATTCAAGATTTTTATCATACAAAATTTTCTCTAACTTTAAGGTTGTAATTGTTTAGCAGAATCCCATTACGTTCAGAGGACCTATTGGGTTGAGGATCATTGTAGCATTAACTAGCTGTGATATGAAAGTACTATAAGTGAGAAAACTGCAGATTAATACATTTTTTGATGTACATGCTTTCCTTTTTTGTCATTTTCTTTCCTTAAGCAAGATTCAGTCAAATGATTAGTATGGACTAAAATGTTCTTGTTTGGAACTTTCCCTGTTTTGTGTCTCTTCTTGTTGTAGCAGGTTTTACTACTTAAGTTTGTTCAGTTTTTCACTCACTATTTTTTTTTCTTAAAGCTCTAGAGTGGCTTGTCATTCCTGCTAATTTTACTCAGAAAATAGAACCTTTACAAATATATGGGAACACACTGCAAGTAAATCTGCAAAGTCCTATCCAGAACACCACTCAAGGTAAACCCTAATATGTGGGCTGAATATACTGTACACATAGATTCATAAAGAACTGGTATTTTTGTTAATATGAATACACAGTATAATGTGCTGTCCTTGTAACATTCATTGTACATCCTGGGCTTTGTTATAGATGATTACAATTGGATTTGATAAATCAAAAGAGTGTAATTAAAATAACATGTCCCTAGGGTTTCTATGGAATTTGCCAAGTTTGAATTATTTGAAGACATACATCACTCCTTCATTTGATGTTAGCTCTTCCAGACGGTTTTGTGTACTTGTTGTCAAATGGCAAATAACTTGAGAGTGAGCATGTTGTAGGAGCATATGAACACTCTTCAGTTATGAATGAGAAACAATTGTCAGGTCTAAACTAGGATAAAATAAACAAGAAATAATACTGATTTAAAAAAATCAAGTATTCTTTAAATGTTGGAAAGACTAAAAAATAACAGCACATAGTTTAAGTGGGAGGGATTCAATTCAATATAAAATTGACTGAGGTACTTTTTTCTAAATATTTATTTTAGAGCTTCATAAATGTTTTACTGTTTTAGGAAATACAGCTGTTCTGTTTGCCTCATATACTGGGCTTGAATCTGTTCTGGATGGAAGATTCTTCCAGTCAAATTCCTCTGAGGACACTATATCTCCTCAGATCAACTCACACATAGTAACTGTTGTAATAAAACAGAAGAACAATCACAACTACAAATGTTTCCAGCCCATCAATGTCACTTTCCAGAATAAGCAGGTAGGACAACCATACAATTTAATTATTCCTTCCAATTCTTAGGGTAATTAAAAATACATTTAATAATGAGAAAAAATAAATTGTGAGTCCATTTTAACATAATGCAGTACAATAGGGTGTCGCTATCAGCAATATTGTGTGGCCAACAGGGCCTTGTATGGAAGAAGAGAAAGGCAGGATGAAACTGAGCTGACAGTTGTTAACCACAGCTTTCAGATTAGTGACACAACAAACTTGGAGTGAGTTAGTGAGTGAGCCTTTCCCCTTATCCGCTTCCTGCATCTGCAGTTCAATGTGTTTCTGTGTTACCAGTGTGAGTAATGGCTGGCTAGAAACAAATTTAGACGATCTCTGACCATTTTATTACAGGGTTCATTCCAATGCATTATGATACCCATGGAGAGGGAGACTAAAGGTTGAACAGAGAGGAGGGATTCATGTATATTTTAGCTGATTGCTTATTACCATATACAGATGCAGCCATTCAAAATGCACGGTACAACCCATATAATGCACGCAATTACCAACAGTGCACCGCGGTGTACAGCGGTTTGTGATTTGGCTGGCAACGCACTTGTGGTGCATTGGTTGTTAGTGAAACAATTTAACTATTTAATCTCTTTACTGTGTATGTTTTAATTCACTTAGTATTTAATATTTATATGGAATTTTACAACTTAAGGGAAATGTTAGTAGCTGAGCATAAAAAGTAGAGGAGCATAACGCATCATAAGATCATAAACAATATTAATTTAGGAACATATTATGTAAACTGTATATGACTGGTATTGGTAGTTTAAATAAAAAAAATACACACCAATATTTTACTTTCTTCCTTAACATTTTATGCATCAAAGTCTTTTATTCGGTTACATACTGTGGTTATTTTGGAAGGTGCTCCTTCTAACGATATTAAGTTTATATACTTTGTAAATGCATACGCCATATGGCCGACATTACAGGTATTGTGCTGCTTACCACCGTGGTGACATCACTGTCTTTCATTTGAATAGCAGGGACCTGATCCATTGGGGGTAAAGGTAGATCTCACTGTAGATCGGCTGGCTGGTTCCCTGTTGAGTGACGCTAGAGGCCCGGGTTTGATCCCCCACCTGGTAGGGCGCATACTCATGTGAGCCTGAAAGCCCTACATTATTAATAATATCTTCTGTGTCGCATTAACATTGGAATGTTCTTTTTTACAAGTGTAAAAAGAGGCGAAACACAACGCGTCTCTTCTTTAACTCTTCAGTTTACAGAGATATTCCGCCAGAGCCTCACAACATTGTCCAATAATACTCTTCTTGTGTCTAATTTTTAGTTTAGCAGGATTTGAGCTACAGTATATGAATATAATTCTATCGTTATTAAGCCCAGCTGTTGCCATGAGATTTCTTTTAACAAGTACAAATTTATTTGAAAAACTTAAATAGCAAATACTATGGACACTACAGTATATTGACTTTTTTAGAATTTGATTAATATGGAAAATAATATAGAATAGCGTACCTAAAGAAATTAAACACCCAACTTACAGCACGGAAAGCACACATTTAATCCATTACGCCACAGATGTAATCATGTGGGAAGGAGTGAAGCTGAAGCAGACGTTTCCAAAGAAAGTGTACTACTGTGATAATTTGAGCTACAGTATATGACTATAATTATATCATTATTAATTTCTTTTGATATGCAATTCCATATTATATTCCCTATTAATCAAATTCTATAAAGTATGCTTTGTTGTGATAATGAGCGTATTCGCAGAAAATGTTAAAACATTACAACTTTTTACAAAGAATATCCATTTAATATAGTCAGTAGGAGCACGTAAAAACAAATATTCATAGAAAAGGTTAAAACATTATAACTTTTTATAAAGTATATAAACTTAATATAGTCAGAAGGAGCATGTAAAAACGTTTTCAAAATAACCACAGTATGTAACCAAATGCAAGACTTTGATGCTTAAAATGTTTAGATAGAAAGTGGAATATTGGTGTGCATTTTTTATTTCAACTACCAATACCAGCCATGTACAGTTTACATAACATATTTATGTTCCTAAATTGATGTAGTTTATGAGCATGTGAGAGCTATGGTGAATTGGAAAGTCTCAAAACTTACTTTGTATGACTGAAAATGAATACGTGATAGGATCCACAAAATGCTGTAGTGTTACGTTTTGTCAATGGAAAAATAAAGTCTTTTCATGTTGCAATAGTTAAACTGATGCAGACGGTTACAAAGAATACTTTAAAATACTTTGAGCTTACAGCCTGTCCAAGGTCATTCATTGTTAATACTATTAGTAATATCTTCCGTAAATACTTTGATGCATACAATATTTCTGCATAATTAAAATATTTATAATTAAGGTGGAAGGTTGTGTACTTTTTTCCAACTGAGCAATCTTTCTTTTATAAAATATACCCACTTTTTAAGGTTTAATGATTAACATGCTGTAATATACAGTTTAAAATTATTAATAGTCTAAAGAGTATACAACTTAAATTCTTAATTGGAAAAATGTTGTCCCTCAGCAGTGACTGGGATTCGAAACCTGGAGTTTTCTGGCGACAGCTCGAATGCTGTACATGAGAAGTTAAGCTTTATTAGCGCCACCTGGCGGTTTTACAAGGTCTTACAAGGTGATGCCAGATACTATTATCATTATCTAATTTGCATATGGTATAATGCGGTATATTGCACCACGCCCACCATGTTTTACCTCGCTCATTTTGAATGGCTGCATCTGTAAGGGATGTATGTCTTTTAACCATACATACTGTATACTTCACTACATTAGGCAATATATACTGTAGGGTTTAGTTGGACATAGTTATATGCAAATTTGACTGTTTGCTTATAACTATCTGCACTGAACCCTCATGAATGTCAAGACCCTACTGTAATACATTTTTTGTTCTGCAACAGTTCAGAGAAGGTACAGTAAATGACTTCTCCTGTGTTCCCTACGTGCCAATACTCATTCTCCCCTTTTTAAATCTTTTCTTCTCCCACGCTTTATTTATCTGCCAGTTCCCTTCTTTCTTACACCTGAAAAAGTCTCCACAAAAAAAAAAAACATGTTTCTTCTTCTTTTCAGCATGGAATAAACCTCTATCTGTTCCTTTGATTAAATGTATGATTGGTCATGAAGTTTCATGTGAACAGAAAGGATTTTTTTTTGGTATTTAACTTCTTAAATGTAAACACTGATCAGCAATCCAACGGTTTAACAATTGTATTGCTCTTGTTTTTTTAAATTGCTTGTTAAATACAAGTATAGTTTTACATGGGAAAAGAAAATGCTTCATGACATGTATAAAACATCAGTTAAATAATTAAATTTGATTTTTCTTCCTTTCAGAAAAGGAGTAATAAAAATGTACTATTCTGTGTCTACTGGAAATCTGAAGGAAACGAGAGCTCCTGGTCTAAAACTGGTTTGAAAGTGATCCATTCCAATGAAACTCACACAGTCTGCAGTAGCGACCATCTGAGCAGCTTTGCTGTAATCATGGCAACTAATTCCAAGCAGGTATGAACTCAAAGGCATAAAAATAATATAAATTACTATTTTTATTATCTGTGTGAAGTTTGTATGTTCTCCCCATGTGTGTGCTGGTTTCCATGCAAATCATCACAATCATTTCTGTTGTGAATAGAACATCCCAATCAGTTTGTGATTAACAAAATGCATCTAGTTTAATTATATTTCAAACATAAGACCATAAGGAAAGTCACAAATAAAAGGAAGTGATCTGGTTTGTAGCTTGTTTGGTAGTAGCTAATCAAGGAATCATTCATACCGAGAGAAGCTAAAGAATGAGCTTTAACAAAATACCAAAGCACAATAAGATCTTTATTACAGATTATTAAAATAGTAATTAATCTGAATCTGGTGAATCATTGTTTCGTCGAATACTTCCAATGAGTTTAGAATAAAGGACTTGATTTTTTATTTATTCCACACAGTAAAACTGAAAACTCTTCTCATCGTCTTATCACAGCATTTCTCTACTTCTGACATATGTTTGACATCTTCTCACAAGTCAAATATTGAAGCTAGATTATAAAAGATATTCTCCACTACTTGTTACATAAGGTTTTTAATATATATGCAGCCATTCAAAATGCATGGTAAAACCTCATACTGCGCAAAAATATCTGCAGTTTAGCGCATTATACCACAGTACGTGATTGGTTGGCCAAAATGACCGACAGGCGGCACTTGTGGTGCATTGGTTGTTAGTGAAACAATTGCTTCATTTAATCTCTTTACTGCACATGTTTAAATCAGATTAATATTGAATATTTATATGGAATTTTACCACTAAAGGGAAATTGTAGTAGCTGAGCATAAAAAGAAGAGGAGCATAACGTGTCTGAAGGTCATAATCGATATTTAGGAACATAAACATATTATGTAAACTGTATATGGCTGGTAGTGATAGTTTAATAAACATAAACACCAGTACTCCACTTTCCTAATTTTTTTGGTTACAAACTGTGGTTATTTTGGAAAAAAATTTACATGCTCCTTCTGACTATATTATGTTTATATACTTCATAAAAAGTTATAATGTTTTAACCTTTTCTATGATTATTTGTGTTTGTTATCGCAGTAAAAAGCACATACTTTATAGAATTTGATTAATAGGTAATATAATATGGAATCATGTATCTAAATAAATTAATAACTATATAATTATATTCACATAGCTCAAATTATTATAGTAGTAAACCTTCTTTCTAAATATCTGCATCAATTTGACTCATTCACTCACGATTAACGGGAAACATTTTGCCTGCCCTGTTCGGTTAAAGCTTAAGTTGTCAAGTGGTGTGCTGGTGTAATGGCTTAGGTATGTGACTTGCCTGCTGGAGGCTGGGGATTCAAACCCAGTTCTCACCATGAGTTTCCTTTTAACAAATAAACATGTCTTTGAAAAACAAAAATAGTAAATATTATCGATACTATATTGAATTTGTTGGTATTTCTAAATATCACAACATATCAAAGTTAAGTGATTAATAACAACTAATAATTTCAAACTGCTTTTATTTTAAAATTGTATTTTGTTCAGGTTGATTTGTCACTGTTTTCACTAAATTTATTAAATGTCTATTTTTGAGTGGGTGTTCCAAATTCTGTTTAATTTCTGAAACTTCCTCTGTATTCCATGTTTTAACCTTTTCTATGAATACTTCCGCTCATTATCGCAGTAGAAAACTTCATACATTTTAGAATCCGCTAAATACGGAATATAATATGGAATTGCTTATCTAAAGAAATTAATAATGATATTAAATTAAGGATCTAAATATATGTATTTATATAGCTGGTAGTGTTACTGTAAACCCCTTTCTTTGTAAACACATTTTATTTTTAATTTAACTCATTCATACATTAATATTTTGTCAATAGTTTTGTAAATAGTTGTTCTGTCTACATGATCCGGGTTCAATACTTGCTTATGGTACAAGTTTATATTCTAACAAATGCTTAAAAAAATAAAATAGTAAATATTTTGTTCACTATATTAACATTTTTGTTTTTTTGTATATATAGTACAACATATTCAATGTTAAGTTATATAACTAATGAAATAAAAATGTTATTTAGCAAACATGAATACTGCCAACTGTTCAGCCAGTTTAATTAAAAACACTTCATTCAGTGGGGCAATTTAACAGATGCCTCAAGCCTTAAAATGAAATTGGATATATTGTAATTAGAATTGAGAATAACAAAACGGTATTAAAATGATCACTGATACTATAATAATGTGTCTGGTCTTTATTAACAGTATTAATTTAATAATAATTTCAAGCTTCTTGTATCTTTTTTAGAGTAATATTTTTCTTAAGTTTTCATAAGCTTTGCTTATTAAAATACCTATTTATGAGACAAGATGTTTCAGATGTCAATAACTTTGCAAACAAATCACACAGAGCCTGCAACCTACAGATTTAAAAACAGATTTGTAAAAAATTTCACAGCTTTTATTTAAACAATATCTAGTACCTGGTTGCATTTTTAGAAACCTTAGTTTGAATAAAGTGGATCCCAGGTGCAAGTGACTTCATAACGGGAGAAGGCATTATGTTATATTTTTATGCATCAGTTGAAGCCTTCTGAAGTCTCTCAAAAACATAAAAATGTAACATAATCTTGTGTGGTGCGATGGGTAACCGATTATTTTAATTTTAAAGAAAATCAAAAATAGGAAACAATAATGTGTGTGCCTCAAATAAACATTAAACATTTAAAACCCATAAAAATGGGTTTAGTTAAAAACACGAAATCCACGAAAAACAGGTGATTTTTCTTCCTTGTGATAATCTTAGAATCTTTGTGTAAGCTGTAAGTTTTTTTTGCATTTTAATTAAACATTTTAAATACTTTAATTTTGTAAATGCAACACGCATTTCGTACAGATACAGTACAATCACATTCTTCCCGTGGTGTGAAACGAATTAGCAGGCAGTTGAGAAAACAGTGCACCACCCACTAACCTCAGTCAGAGAAGAGGCGGCGATGATTGTATTTCTTACTGTTATGTCACAGTATTTTATCCGAAATAAAGTCAGGCATCACACTGTGAAAAATTGTTTAACTTCCACATCTTGGAACATACGTTAAATCTGACTATAGGAAGCCAGGGTTCACTTGTTTTTTCTCTCCCTACTCTCTCTCAAGTGTTGCGATTCAGACACAGAATGGTTAAAAATGGGAACAGGTGAGTTAGGCTGAGGGAAGGGGGAGGCATCTTCCCACCTCTATGACTACAGTGCCAAAGAGAAATGGCTTGGGTGACATACAGAGCCGAAAACGTTTGGTGCAGTCTTCTCTGCTTTAAAGGTACACTCCTTGTGGAAGAATTTTCACCAGCTAACACACAGAAGCAAACTGAATACAAAATGTACTTGCAAAAATAGCGTTTACAAACATTAAAAAACATACTTGATTTATACTGTTATACTGTACAGTGTATTCAAACATTCTATGGTCATTACACTGCTCACTAAACCTCTTTCCTACAATTTCACGGGGCCAAGGTCACCAAGCTGATTCAAAGCTGAATACAATTTTATCTTGCAAAAATTCAGATATTTGTCAACATATTTACTAAAACCATCCATCTGAGCAATTTCACTGTGTTAGTCTCACTGTACACCACAGTGCTCACTCAATGTTCACACTCCCAGTAAAATAAAAAAAAACATTTCCTGCATTCTCACCTAGCACCAGAGGGGAAGGAAAAGTGCCCGTGGTCATTTCTTTCACTGACAAAGTTGATTAAAACTCATTCAAAGGGTGTGGCATGTTAACACAAACTTTACTTAACAGAGCCACTTGTAAGAGCAAGGTGACAGGAACACTTCACTGTATCCTCTTTTTTTATTTCATTTTTAAAAATAAAAAAATAATTTGATTTGTGTTGATAAGCTGTTCCCCGATTACTGTCAACTGTAAAAAATAATCCTCCCCCCCTCATTTAATTTAAAGATTTCCGGGAAGAAATCCTTAAACATAAAGCCATCACATATAAAAACATAACATTTTCGGGTTCTCGTGGGTTTGTGCCCTTGCCACTTCCACCTTAGGTTGGCCCTTCACAGCAGGGGCTCAAAGCCAAGCCCCTGGTGTCACTCAACAAGGAACAGCCAGCTGAGCTAAAGGGAGATCTCCCCTCAGCCCAAGCGCTGAGGTTCCTGTTATTCACAGGGACAGGCTGTGACATTACCGTGCTGGCACCTGGCTCTGATTGCGATTTGAACCGCTTGGGTGCAGCTCATTACCACTACAAGTACAACAGAAGTTTTTTTTTTAAAAGAAAGTAATGTCAAAATGTTTCCAAAATGTCCTCTTGTGATACTTTAGCTGCTTAGTTACATGATTCCATATTAATATAACAATCAAGTGTTGTTAAATCACTTCAACATTTATTATTTTACAATAACTGCAAGTGGTGTTCTTACTATGTATTCTTAGAAAAGGATAAAACGTTATAACTTTTTATGAAGTACATAATTTAGGCTTAATAATGTTAGAACAAACACGTTAAAATGAGAGCCCATGTAAGTTACCAAGTTAAAGACTTTGATGCATAAAATATTTATGCATAATTATAATATTTATGATTAAGTTGGAAGGTTATGTACTTTTGTCCAACTGAGCAATCTTGCTTTCATAAAATATACGAACTTTTTAATGTTTAATGATTAACACGCTGTAATACACAGTTTAAAATTATTAAAAGTCTAAAGAGTCTACAACTAAAATTCTTAATTGGAAAAAGACTGTCCCTCACCAATGACCAGGATTTGAAACCGGGCATATTCTGGCGACAGCTCAAATGCTGTATATGAGACGGAAAGCTTTATTAGCTTGGTGGTTTTACAAGGTGCTTCCAGATATCAATACCATATTTCGATTTGCATACTGTATAATGCGACATGATGCATTCTTGATGCATGAATTCTTAATTGGAAAAAGATTGTCCCTCAGCAGTGACTGGGCGTTTTCTGGTGACATCTCAAATGTCTCGTGTACAGCATTTGAGGTGTCGCCAGAGTTAATAATTCCACCTGGTGGTTTTACAAGGTGCTTCCGGATACTATTATCATATTTCAATTAACATGCGGTATGATGCGGTATTTTGCGCCATGCCCACTGCGTTTTAATGCAGCCTACCTCGCATATTTTTGAATGGCTGGATCTCTTCATTTTATTTCTCTAAATTTTAAATTGCATATTGAAAAGACCCTTTCGGAATAGAAAAGGTGACATTCAAACCGATAATATCTCAGGACCTTTTTTTTACTTTGTTTGAAATTACTCAAATAAGTTAATACATTTTACATTTACAAATTTACATTTGTAAATTGATTTATAATACATCAATCAATTTTAGAAAAAGTATAATACTGTTATTATTACTATTAAATAATGTTAAGCTTTGTGTGCCAGCAGCCATGTCACCATGCAACCCACTAAAGCTAAGCAGGTGTGAGTCTGGTCAGTACCTGGATGGGAGACCTCCTGGGAAAACTAAGGTTGCTGCTGGAAGAGGTCTTAGTGAGGTCACCAGGGGGTGCTCACCCTGTGGTCCATGTGGGTCCTACTGCCCCAGTATAGTGATGGGGATACTATACTGTAAACAAGTGCTGTCTTTTGGATGAGACGTAAAACCAAGGTCCTGACTCTCTGTGGTCATTAAAAATCCCAGGGTGTTTCTCGAAAAGAGTAGGGGTGTAACCCCGGCATCCTGGCCAAATTTCCCATGCCTCCTTATAATCCCCCTTTATGAATTGGATAAATTACTTTGTTCTCCTTCCCCCCCGATGGCAGGCGGAGCAACGTGCCGGTTGGAGTATTCTCAGTCGCATTTAATGGCAACGTCAGCTCAAAGATTTGGTTCAAACCATCAAATGGAGATGGGCGTGTCGACAAGCGGACCGTGTTGATGCGGGATTAATGCTAGGATGAGAGAGAGAATTAATGTTAAGTTTTAAATGTAATTTAGATTCAGGGATTCTTACAAATCACAACATTTAGTGTTTGACCAGAAATTATTCATGCTAATGTTTTTTTATTCCCACAGATTAATGAAGATTCTGTCCTGTCAATTATCAGCTATGTGTTTGTAATAACAGCCCTGATTTGTCTCAGTCTTGCAATCATTACATTTGTATTCTGTAAATCAGTTCATAAAGGACACAACATTATTCACTTGCACTTGAGCCTGTGTTTATTTATGGCACACCTTCTCTTTTTAACTGGAGGATCCAAAACGGACCATAATGTAAGTAGGGTATTTTAAAACTGCAAAAATTTAATTATTTTGTGAAGAGAACTGAAGAATAAGGGCTTAGTTTTATATATTTATAATAGTATTAGATTATTCTCAGGATTTAGTTATAACAATGTATCTATAACATAATTTATATTGATGTTTTAATATTTTATATGGCCACAAAGTAATATGCGCTGCTTTAAATTGTTAATGTGGCACAACTATAATTTTTTTGTGTCTACAGCTAAGTTTTTGTTAATGGAATTTTATTTTGAGATACCAAGGTTGTTCTTAGTGCAGTGATATCTGCAAAGGAGATTTTATCCATAATCTGAAGAGATAACTTTATAATAGGTCCCTGGTTCGAAAAAAGGGAGGAAACAAATAAGCTTTTAGGGAGGAGTGGTGGCACTGTGGCTAAGGATCTGCACCTGTAGCTGGAAGGTAGCTGGCTCAAATCCTGCAGCTAGCAGAGGAATCCTATTCCATTGGGCCTTACAACAAGGCCCTTAACCCCTAGCTGTATAAATGGCTGACCCTGCCCTCTGACCCTAAGCTTCTCTCTCCCTGTCTGTGTGTCTCATGGAGTGCAAGCTGAGGTATGTGAAAAGACAAATTTCTAATGCAAGAAATTGTATATGGGTAATAAAGTGATCTTATCTCTTATCTAATGGCAGGATAAGGACATTTTACATCATACTAGGGCAAAAGATCCCTGTGCACTACATTACCGGACAAGCACATGCCTTGACATTTTTTTTCCTTAATTTGTATTTGCCAATAACTTTTAAGATAAATCTATTTACAAGTCAAGTAAACAAAAGTATGCCCAGATTTTTTTCTTGTGAGTGAGTTGCAACAGATATTATTTTCCAGTGCTTCTGCACTTCTGATCTCTTCTCTGTTACTGCAGGTGATCTGTGCGGTGATAGCAGGAGTCCTCCACTTCTTTTTCCTTGCTAGTTTTGTCTGGATGTGTCTGGAGGGAGTTCAGCTGCTTCTGTTAGTGACGAATCTGAGAGTGGTCAAATACAGTAGCAGAAGCAGATTGACCAAGAGGTATCTATTACCCCCTGGGTATGGTATTCCTGCCATCATCGTTGCTGTGTCAGCTGGAGTTTTTCCAGGCGGTTATGGAACACAGACCAGGTGAGCAAGTTATTTCATACTGTTTTGTCTGAAGTTGCTCAATGTCCAGCTGTATCATTTTAAATTTCTTTCTTCCAATTTACCTCTAGGTTTTTCATAGACTTAGGGATCAACGAGAAAAGGATTAGCAAATACTGAAGAAGTTGCAGAAAATAAATTGAAGGGACTAATACCAAGTACAAGACACCCATCAGATGATATTTAATGTAGACAAATTAAATTAGCAAACAAATTACAAACACAATATGTTCCAAACAATCTGACATCTGTTAGGGTGCCATAACAATATCTTTTTGTGAATATCCATGGAAACAAACACACACTGGCCTGCTATAATGGTAAAAAGCACCATTTAAAGAATCCCAATCCAATGTGCTTCCATCCCAAGGTCTTTCTGATTTTTTTTCTTCTTTATTAGGTTATCTCTTTTTTTCTCTTCCAGCTACACTGCTTTCTCTATCACTGCTGCCAGCACTGCCAAAACTCATCTCTTTTGGTGTTTTTGGCACCAGTTTCTTCTCTTTCATCCCCTGCTGCATGAGATGCTATCTCAAGGGCCCTGGAGATGTCCCGTAACATCCTTTCTCTACTCTGGCCTCAAATACAGCTCATTGGATGTCCTATCTCATTTCTCCTTCCGGCTTCTTAGACTTTTCTTTCTACCTTTCTTCTCCTTTCTGATCTCTTAACACTTAAACCTCTTTAGGACCATAATACCCCCTGTGCCTTCCACCTCCATTTTGTTACCTCTACCTCACACCCCCCTTCATCTTTGACAGTAAATTCTATGTGGATGTTAATCTTGGCCATCTTGTTACTCACTCTACCAGCTCCTTTCAACCTCTATCTGTCTGATCTCCATTGTTGTCCCATGTTAATTGTTAGATCTTGTTAAGTCTGTAATCATTTTAATTTCTCATTCTGCTCTCCTTGTTTTCTGCAATTTGCAAATACTGTGGAAAAGCCTATCATCCATGACCAGGCAAACCTACTTCCACATGTACCCAAATGACTTCTGATTATAGCTCTACCCCCATTTTCATTCTCACTTACCACCTACAAGAAAGATAGTGAGTATCCTTTCACTTGGCTTTTCTGCTGTTTTTTAACCCCGTTTCCTTCTTCCACTTCTTCCAATGTAAAAATATCCCATCCACAATCTCTACCTGGATTCTTATAGTATTTCCTAAAGACTGAGGTCATCAATGGCTTTATTGGTCATCAATGGCCTCTTTGATTCTTCTCTTTTTCCTTTTTATTATATTAGCCCCATTGTTATCACTGTTTACAAATATTCAGGAAACAAAATTTAATTGATGTGGTTCAGGTGGATAGCTGTGTCAGGTTTAGTCCTATTCCTGCTGAAAAGAGAGGAAAGAAAAAACAACATTTTGGCTTTGTCTGACTTGAGTGCATCCATTCATCTTGCAACCGTTTCTCCCACTTTAGGTTGTTGCAAGCAATTGGCAAGCAATGGGCACAAGACAGGCTACACTCTAGATGGTTGCAGGGCAGACACACAAAGAGACATGCACAAACTCCCAACTAGGGCCAGTTTCCATAGATGTTTAACCTACCAATATGTTTTTGGACTTTGTGTGTTGGGGGAAATGCATGCTGACACATCCCATATAAATATCCCATCTTTCTATATGCTATAATTTCAATTCAAGAGAAAGAAAACAAGTCAGTTCATCTCTAGCATGTAGATTTTTTTATTTCAAAATGCAGTCCTACATTATCGGAAAACCCCTCCTTGATTATTTCCATCTCAATATTTTCATATTTCCCAGGAGCCTCTTTATCTCTTTTCTTTGTTAATGAAAATACCTCTTTAAGCCTTGTGGCTTGGTAATTTTACATTTGAAATTTTTTAATTAAATCAAGATCCACAAAATGATTTGCAAGGGATTCGAGACCACTTAATTAAAAAAAAATGGGTTGCTTGTCATCAGAAGCAAAGCACACTTACATCATAACCAGTTTTGATGATCCGACACAGGTATTTCTGCACCTTTCCAAATATACAGTGTGTATAGAAAATCACCATCCCCTTTCAAAATGTGTACCTTTTTTTATTTTGAAAATAAAAACAAATTTAATTAGATTTGTTCCATTTTTATTTACACACAGTAACCCACATTAGCCAAGTGAAAATAAAATTCTAAAACATTCTGAAAATTAATTAATTACAACAGTAAAGTACCTTATTTGGATAAGTTGTGCTGCTTCGCAACTGGGATAAACCCTCAGGGGACCGAGGGAATGAGAATTAATAAATTAGAGTTCCTGAGAATAATTTGGCCAGGGGTCCTCTCTGGCTCGTGCTTGAGTCCATCTTATGCCCATATTTTCGCAAGGGAAACACAGAAAGCCTTCAACAAATGCATTTTAAAGACCTTTACTTGTGAAACATTTCACAGCCTCCACATAAAACTATCAGTAAGCTAATTCTCTTTTTGTAAACCTCCGGTTTTTCATCGAGCCCCGGGGGACCGATGTTTACACAAGTTAACAACGCTAGAAATAATGCTCAATACGGCTTCGTGTGAAAAACTTGTATATCACCATAGGAAGCAGAACAGCACAGTCTTCAATTACCCAGACTGTAAGCACGGGAATAAAGCTTTGTTTGATTTCTGAAACCTTTTCTTTATGTCCACAGAAGACTGACAGCTTTATGTTGTGAATCTCTTTTTCTCGTGCTTTTATTTAATGTGGCACTATGCACTGAGATGGGATATGCTGTTCAAAAGCCAACAGCATTTAAACCACAGCACCCACAATGCTGCACCCACTTACTCTGCAAGTGTACTCAAGTGTACTTACTCTCACTTTTTATGAAAGCCATAGTTTTTTAAATCTTTTAAATCATGGGTGCTCCTACAGTTGAGAGGTCTGCATAAAGGACCCAAAGAATCTAAAAGCTTCACAGCTCAAGGGCAAAGTATCCATAGATTTTGCCAAAGCTCTCTCTAAAATAGACGTTCAATAAATTTAAGGTTGTGAAAACAGTGACAATGACAACAGAGCATGCTACTGGAAATTCCCCCAGAACTGTCTATTCTACATAACATTACACAGCTGGGTGTTAACACTCCTAGCCTTTGTGAGAAGTACTGAGCTGTGTCACATAAACTAAAGGTTAATTCCAAGCTGGAAAGAAAAGACACAACATGTCTCCTCTATAAATCTTCAGTTTACAGACAGTCCAATGTCATTTATTATCAATAATGTCTTCCATATCGCATTAAAATTGGAACATTGTTTACAAGTGTAAATCCACCTATTTTCTAACCACTTAATCCAGGTAACAGGTAACAGTTCCACCCACCCCCCAGTTTCCTCTGCCTGCCTGACCTATTCCCATTTGTAACCATTCTGTGAATCGCAGAGGGTGAGAGAAAGTAGGGAGAGACCCTACTTTTTTTTTTATAGTCAAATGTAACATATGTTTGAACACAGTCTTGCAAATGAAAGTTTTACAAGATGTGGAAGTGCAACAATTTATCACAGTGCAAATTTTAATACTAATTATTGATTAAAATAAAAAATAAAATGTTTACAAACAAAGAGGATTACAGCAATACTACCAGCTATAAAATACATATATTTAGATCTTTAAATTAATATTGTTATTAATTTCTTTAGATAATCAATTCCATATTATATTCTCTTTTTAGCATATTTTAAAAATGATTTCTGTATTTCTGCGAATATGCTCGTTATCAGAGTAAACAACAGCATACTTTTAGAATTTGATTAACAGGGAATACAATATGGAATCGCGTATCTAAAGAGAATGCTTGCCAGAGCAGTGATGTCACTGCCTCTCCTTCTAAATAGATTGCAGGGACCCAGCCTCAAATAATAGGCAGTGAAAACATTTGTCTGTCTGTCCATGGGGGGAAGGGGGACTGTCTTTCATTGGAAGGTTCACCTATTCTACTCTGAGAATGTAGGGGGGAGGAAAAGTGCCCGCGGTCTTTTTTTCACTGACAAAGTTGTTAACAAAAACTACACTATGCTTAACAACTGTTAAACCAGTTCAGATACCAGCTAGCCTGCTAGAGCACCAGAGCTCACACTCACCCACATCACAGATCACAGAACAGTCCCAGTGTGTGAGATATTGCTGTTTGATCTGTGTTTGATCTTTGATCTGAGCTTTAATAGGGAGCTTATCTCTATTGATATAACTATCGAGTGGTATTAAATAAACAGCTTTTTTGTATAGATGACACTTTTCTAAAATGTATAAAAAGAAGAAAAAGGATTACAATCTAATCTTTCCACATTTGATCCCATGAGGAAGTACAATACACTCCTGCTTTGTTTAATGATGGTATGAAAAATCCATCTAAATGGTGAAAAAGTTATGCTTAAAGATAATTAAGGGACTAAAAAGACAAAAATAATGATTTACATTGCATTGTCAGATTGTGAATCAATAAAGGCATTTAATTAAACACACATTTGCGATTTTAATCAAAATGGGGGTAATGGGGTTAGACCATTAGACATGCAATACACTTCCTCATGATCATCTTAGAATCTTTGTGTAAGCTCTAAGTTTTTTAAAACTTTTTTTTAATTATACATTTTAAACACTTTAATTTTGTAAACGCAACACACATTCTGTAAAGATATAGTACAATCACATTCTCCTGTCTTCCAGTGGTGTAAAATGAATTAGCAGGTGATTGAGTTAACAATGCATCACCCACTGAGTGGAATGTGGAAGCACATTGTTTAATGGGGATGACATTACCCACGTCTATATCACTGTACAATACTTGAGTCGGGGTGTCTGTTAATAAAACAGAGTGCCGTGCAATACATATACTGTAACTGCTTCAGGTGGGTAGCTGCATCTGCAAAGGAACAACTAATATGTTTATTCCATGCTGAAAAGAGAAGACAGAAAACTCAACGTTTTCTTCAGGTATGAGAGTCTTCGGCTCAAAATGAAACGCTTGGAATTTGTAATGTAGGGCGCT